CTGAATGTTAGGCAACTTGCAAGATTCAACAAAAATTATCAATACTTTTATTATAATGACAATACTACAGTAACATGAACATAAAATTAAACTGCATATAACTATAAAATAAGCCAGCATATAATAATGGTGCATTGGTTTCTAAAACAATGGGCTCGATGAAAAAATACATGTATTATGGTAGCTATTCATATTCTTCAGCTTTCCTAATATTCTCATGTTCACTTTACATAACTAAAGTATCTAAAATACAATAAAAATGCAAACAATATTTATGAGAAAATGTTAAAAGCAATCATAAGCATTTGATTGAATGACCATATTTTGTCTTCCTGCAAGTCGAATCTTAAAATGATATGCAGTTTGAAAAATGCTTAATCCTTTTATAAAATATTCAAAAAAGATTAAAAAAAGGTACTGTTCTGTTATCAGGACCGGGTTCAGAATTGTATTTATGTATGCTTGTATATTTGTATGTTTGTGTGTCTACATATACACATCTATGCACATACTTACGAACACAGGTTCATACATTTCCGATTCTGGTCCCAATAACAGAACAGTACCCCCAAAAAAACTTGAATTACAAACTAGATTAAGATAATGTTTCAACCATACATATTTTGGACAAAACAATGCAAACTCTTATTTTTATACAATTGTTCAAACTATTTAACATAAATTTATTGCTGCAATAAAATAATAAGCAATCTGATCACACATATTATTTTGAAACTGAATGCATAAACTAGACTAAAAAAAAATTCAGTCATAAACATTTGGATAGCAGGGCAAATTAGATATTTGAAAAGACAGCCAGCCATTGAGATACACGTAATTCACGACAGAATGGTAACAATTCATAAAGCTGTGAAACATTTAACTGTCAAAATGACATAAATTCGAAAAGCAAAAAAAGTAAACATACAAGTATTGCAACTGAACTTACCTTTCATGCAACAAAAAAAAATATCCATACAAGTTAACCTCATGGCGCAGCCATTTTGGATTTCGTTTCAAATCAGACAGATGTTTACGGATTTGCGGAAGAATACGAGGAACTAGTAGTTTGCCGGATACAATGTGCAATGACGCGAAAGAATATAGTTCTGTAGAACTTCCTACATTATTCCGTAATAAACAGTACTATTTTCCTAATTTTTCTTTATCTAATTAATTAATTAATAGGGAAATAGTTAAATAATGCCGAATTCATTTTTAATGAAATGTAAAATTTTGCATGTATGGGACGACCACCTTCCGTCCAATATTTCTGAGAATATAAACAAATTTTGGAATCTGAGAGTATCAGTAAATAAATATATAGAATATCGCCTCTCAAACGACCACTTCTGAAAGTGACCAATAGTTCTGAGATTATAAATAAATATTGATATTAAGCATTATTTCTATAAGACGACCATCTCTATATAAGACCAAAGTTTCTAGAATCTTGGATAGTCATCAGAGATGTATCTTTACTGCGAAATTATCGCACGACTGTAATTCAATATCAATAACAGATCGCGCGATTGAAAAACATTTTCTGTCCTGTAATTAGAGGAAAAAAATTTTCCTTATGAGGTATTTCTCCCGCTTTCCTAGCGTGCCTTCGTGGTGTAATAGTTCTGCACGCTGGGCCGGTATTTCAGAGGTCCGTGGTTCGATTCACGGCGAAGGCGGTTGCTAATTTTTCATCTCTACGGCTTCCCAAAAAAATCCTAATGTCTCTACAGTGGCGCCCGAACTAAAAAGGTGTTGGATGAGGTATATCCACACCCAGGATTTAGTGATTGGATCCCCTTAAAAAAAAGTCGGCCTTTAAAAAGAGAAGTAATATGAGGTATTTCTCCCGCTTTCCTAGCGTGTCTTCGGCCCACCAGCGGCCGAGCGGTCGCACGACTGCTCGAACGAAAGTCGCTGAACCCTGGTAGTGCGATCCGAGGTTCGAATCCCGCGAACGGGCTGGCTGCATGGGTGTTTTCGTGGTTTTCCCCACGTGTAACGTGTATACGAGTCTGTTTCCCTTAGAAAGTCCTCCACGAAGACATCTCTCCCCTTAGTAGTGGTTCTGCACACTGGGCCGGTATTCCAGAGGTCCGTCCTTCGATTCCCGGCGAAGGCAGTTGCTAATTTTTCATGTTTCCTGCTTCCAAAAAAATACCTAATGTCTCTATATCCAAATTTAAAAAAAAAATTCGTTTTCCGTAATTAAATATATCTATATCTAATTTTACCTATATTTGTAGTAGGGTTTGTAATCTGTAAGTAATTATACATGTAATTTATACATTTTTTTATAAAAAAAATATATGTTATTTAGAAATTTGCAAATATTCTAGAAAATGCTAATCCATTGAAAAAAATCTTTTCCATGACTAAATAAATTTTTAAAAACGTCAGAAAAAAATAGCAGTTAAAATTAATAACAAAATAACAAGAATAAATCATCAATCATATCAATATTTTTAATGTACAGCATTTAGAAACAACTTAGTAAAATACATATGAAAAATAAAATAATGTGCAAGTTTCAGATGTGCAATGTCAAAAAATTAAAACTGGTAAATTTGAGAACAAATATCATCAAAATGTTTGACAACGAAAGTCCTCCGGACAATGCAGAATGAATGTCCTCAGGATGTGAAATTGGTGAACTCCTCAGGACATCTGAGAATCAACATCTTCAGGACATCCTGTCATATCCCGGGACATAGCGACTTAAATAAGACATCCTTAGGATGTTAAATTACGATCTCCTCAGGACATCTGAGAATCAACATCCTTAGGACATCCTAAGTATGTCCCGGGATATTGCGACTTAAATAGGACATCCTGAGGATGTTTCCCTGATGTGCTATGGGGGTTATAAAAAGCATTCAACTAAATGTGTTCTTAAATATATAATTATGCAGCATTGCTTTTACTTTAAATGTTCTATATTTTTATTAACATGTTATTTGTTTTAAATGTTGTTATTGTTGTTGTTGTGACTAATCTCGCTTGTCTGATATCAGAACAAGCTGACGAAATTCATCGCGGTAAGGAGGCAAATTGCGCCTGCCGTTGGCGAGAGCCTTTGACACCATGCAGATGACAGTACGACTTTGCTCAGTAACCCCCCCCCCAAATTTTGAAGAAGAGACCCCTGGAAGGATGGGTCTCCCACCCCTCTTCCTCCACTATCAACCTCTCGAGAGGACGTTCTGCTCCCCGCATATTTTCAGTGACTCCTGCCGCACAGACACTATACTTTAAAAACATCTATGCCCCGTCAGTCAAATATTTTTTCTCCACTGTAATAGACCTTTCGCGTCCCACATATCAGGCACTATCTCAGTTCCTTAATCTGTTAAATGCTTGTTTGGAACATTTCTGGGGTCAAAATTCATACTTTGTTTCCAGATAGTGTCGCTTTCTTCATTCATAATGCGTTGAACACATGTTACACGTACCTTCGGAGTAACTCTTCTACAAATACAGATCCCTATCATTAAAATAGTGGGGGAAGAGAGATCATGAAGCTATATGGCAGACTATTTTTTAATGCTATAACGTGCCCTACAGGCGTTTGCTTTCATGGCACGGAACTAGGATTGTTTCATTCAAAACAGCACACGAAAGCTAACTGCCTAAGGAGCATCTCAGTTTTGCATGACAATACTTCAGCCATGATATTTTCTAGCCCTTCAGGAGTCTTTCTTTGAAAATTATAATTAATGAGGGAGAAAATTTAGCTGCCTTCATTCTTAGCAGATTGGTTAGGTAAGGTTAAGCGATTAAGACAAAGCAAATCAAAGGCTATCTGCCTATCGCGAGGGATACTTTCGTGGAGGAGTTTTCAAGAGACAAGCTAGTATCAACGTTACAATGAGAAAAACTAAGAAAACTAACCACGCAGCCAGCCCGCTACACGGTATCGATCTTACGTCTAACTACCAGTGCTGAACGACGTTAACGCTCGGCCGCTGGTGGGCCTCATTCTTACCAGAAGTTAAACATCTAAAACTGCGAAGCACTAGTTTTTATGAATTTGGTTCCGATGTTGAACAGACAGATAAGGCCGGCATAATTTCTAGAGGCTGAATGGAGGGTTTTCATTTTTTTCCTGATGTCTGACTGAAATACGAGCCGTATAGTTTTATGCATAACATAAATAAATTTTTCCTTAGACTATCTTCAGGGAAAGTATTTTTTTTTAAGCAGAAAGATTTGGAGTGTTGTACAATATTGCAATAATCCAGTTATCATCTTTCATTATGAAAGATTACGTGTACTCAAAAGCTAGGCATAAGAAAGTGAATCCAGAAAATGAAAGAAAGCAGATTTTGAATTCTATAAGTGTTAAGGCATTATAATCGTTCGGTCTCAGTTGTTTTATACTTTCCGACCAAAAATAACGAAAACGTAGTATTTAGAGATGCAGTGAAGACTTTCTAGGGTGACTATCCGCGGTTCCGACGATTTTGATCGTCTGTGGAGATGATCGGCTTATAAGGTATTTCTTCCGCCTTCTTAGCAAGCCTTCGTAGTGCAGTGATCATCACGCTCGACGCGTAATCGAGAGGCCCGCGGTTCGAGTCCCGGCGAAGGCGTTGCTGATTTTTCATCTCTCCCGCTTCGAAGTTGCCTAGTGTATTTACAGGCCGAAAAGGTTATATTCAGCACTTAAGTTTAATTGTGATCAGTTTCAGAGATGTTCGTCTACGGGAGGTGGTCGCAAATTGGCTTCTCTGCATTTTGCATTCTGTCACCACATCAGTGAGAAAGCTGATCTCAGAAAAATTTCAAGCAATCGAAACTTAATTACCCTTACACGGAATATTTTATCAACAAATTTTACGGAAACATATTTGTCATCAGTTAGACGATACTTGTCAAGAAATAAATTCACAATCTTCCAAAAAGTGTTTTTGTGTAAATATTGCTGATATATAATATATATATATATATATATATGTATGTATATATATATATATATATATTCTTTTTTCAGGGCCTTTACTCGAGCTCATGACAGAACGATTAAAATTTAAAACATTGGAAGATGATCCGAATCGTAACACAAAAGTCAATGTATACGTAACGGTAAGTATATGCACTCGTACTCTGTGCTACTTATAAGCCTTATTTAACAATGTACAGGGTGATCTTTCTCAAAGTGACAGTGTTTGGAGCGCCCTGTAGCGCGATCTAAAGCCGAAATGGCACCAAACTTGGTATTTAGACTAATCAAGACATGGGAAAAAGGATTCCGTGATAAAAATTAGTTCCAAAAATAGCCGCCCGCTAGGGCATTTTGTGGCGCTGCTGTAGCTTACAATCAGATACTAAAACGTATCAAGAAAATGCAATGTTTGCGATGACGCCGTAAGGGGTTAAAGCAGTGAACAGCTCAAAATCGCAAGTAACGAGTGGACTTTACCGAACGGCGTTACTGTGAGCGTTAGGAATTAGCATCGCGTTACCTCACGCTCTAATAATTTTGTGCATCTCCAAATCAGATGATGGTGGTTCAGTGGGTTTACTAATTTTAACACTTTTACATTTTTAAACAATATTTTAATTACTATATACAGAGCGTATTCTTAGGCCGCCGCCTTCAACATGAACAAACTTTATTCTCTTACAACTAAGCGAGCAACAGCGCCCTCTAGCCTTTTTCTTCAAATTACACAACACTCCCCACCTGAACTCGGTGGAGAGTTCATCTTTCAATAATATATTCTAGAATATTCAATTAATATTTCGACAATAAATCCTGGAGAAATGGTTAAATATAACAAACATGCATACATAATTATAAGCACATAAAATTTTACAAAACATTAAATGATACCTATCAGCAAGGTCAGGAGAATCAAACCTAAAAATACAAAATACAAACATTAGTTAAGTTCCATATTATATAACAATTGTATAGGCCTTTTTAAGGTACCAGTAGGTGTTTTAATTATGCAAGATCTTATTTTACCATCTCTGCCTGGCATTAATTCCAAAATTTGTCCTCTATTGTCCAAAGATTTTGGGATGTTATTTGATTAGCAGGGCAGAGATAGTAATCGTCTACCAACCAGAAAGAAAATGAGAGGGGTGTTAGTGGAGAAGGTTCATTGGGATCGGTAAACACGTAGGTAATTGGTCTACAATTAATCATTGCCTCGATTTCAATGAGCACTGTTTCAAGCTCTTTCACAGTAAGGGATGATCGACCAATCAATAATTTTTCGCAAGCTGGATTTTATGGTTCGTACCATACGCTCCCAAAACCCTCCCCACCATGGACCCCTCTCAATAATAAATTTCCAATTTATGCCTCTAGCAGAAAATAATTCTTTCACAGATGAGTCACTCAAAGTTTTAAAAATATGTTTTAGTTCTTTATCAGCTCTTTTAAAAGTCTTGGCATTATCGGAGTACACGGTGGTACACAGTCCTCGGCGAGCTAAAAATCTTCGGAAAGCTAGCAAAAAACTTTCAGTGCTGAGATCAGTTACTATCTCTATATGTAAGGCACGAGTGACCGCACACGTTAACAACAGCATGTAAACTTTACCTTGCCTGTCTTTCGTAAAAAATGGACCGGCGAAGTCCAACCCGGTCACAGCAAATGGAGGCGACTCTTGGATTCTGTCTGGAGGAAGTGGAGCGATATCCTGTACCCCAGGACGAGCACTATATCGTTTGCATATCACACATTTTCTGATGATGATAGTCTTAACACGCTGTCTTCCCTTAATGATCCAATATTTGTCTCTGATCTGAGTTAGTGTCGAATTAACTCCAGCATGGAATACCCTTTCATGCGAGTCCATGATGATCAACTCGGTAAACTTGCATTTTGAGGGTAATAGAATAGGATGTTTTAAATTCTCGTGACAGTCTGCAAATTGAATGCGACCTTTCAACCGAAGAATTCCCTCCTCATCAAGCCTTGGATTAAGGGAGTAGATGGAAGAATCGAGAATTGATTTTTTATTTGATAACTTAATTATTTCCGCTTGATACGATTCTCGTTGCGTAATTTTTACCCAATAATGTTCAGCTGCTTTAATCTCAAAAGCACTTAAAGGTCCATTCTCTGTAGACCTTTTCCGAAGCCTCCCAATAAATCTAAATACATAGGCAGTAATTCGAAGTAATTTTCCTAAAGAACTGAATTTTTCTAGATGCAAAATTGGGGATTCATTGTTAATTACAGGTGCAGTCAAAATAATACTTTTTCTTAACTCCAACGATTCTGAATTTGGTTGTAATTTCTTTTGTTTCGGAAACTTTTCAGTAGAAAAACGTAACCAGTGTGGCCCATGCCACCACAGATCATTCTTAACTAGTGACTGAGCACTAATTCCTCGAGTTAGTAAATCGGAAGGATTTTGTTTTCCTTCGCAGTGGTTCCACAAATTTTTGTTGCATATAATCTGTATTTCTGTAACACGATTGGCGATAAATGGTTTCCAATTATTTGGCGAACCTTTAATCCGAACCTTTAATCCAAGTAATGGCGATTTCGGAATCACTCCAAAAATAAACATCCTCAATTAAATCACCAAACAATTTTTTCAAATATTTATACATTCGAGCAGCCACGAGTGCTCCCATTAACTCTAAACGAGGAAGCGTGATTGCTCTTAAAGGTGCAACTCTGCATTTCGACATGATAAAGGAAGTTTTAATTTTAGAATCACTCGTACAATATCTGAAATATGCGATGGCCCCATATGCTTTAGGACTAGCGTCCGAAAATAGGTGAAGGCTTATATTCATTGGATCGTCATCAAAGAAATTTCTCTGTATCGATATTTCAGTTAAATCATTAAGTTCCTCCCGCCAAATGTTGAATTTGTCCTTAATCTCTGCAGGAAGGACCTCATCCCAGTCAGAACCGGAACACCAGATTTCTTGCATAATAATTTTTCGCCCGAATAACAAAGGGTGCAATAAATCCAAATGGATCGTATATTTGGGCGATGCTTTGCAAAAGTTTCCTTTTTGTAGCAAAATCGTTTCCAGTAGAAAAGTCAATTAAATTTTTTTAAATTTAACTTTATATTGTCGTCTTCAATGGAATTCCAAATCATGCCTAAGAAATTCGATTCACTAGTTAATTTGTTATCTGATTCCTTAATCCCATCTGAGACCCATAAATCGTTTAATGCTTTAGAATTAGTTCTTAATTTTCTGAAATTCATCCCAGCATCCTTAAATATATTAACCGCATCTACAGATAACCGATATGCATCTTCAACCGTTCCTGCTCCAAAATATAGGTCATCGACATAGACAGAAGAATTTAACATTTGGAAACTGTCCGGCATTTTATCTTTATATTTTCGAATGTGATATTTTATAGTGGCGGCCAAAATGAAAGGAGATATAGTCAAACCGAAAGCTACGCGACACATTTGCATAATCTTAAAGGAGTCATTATTTTCATTAAACCAAAGAAATTTTAGAAATTTTCTATCACCTTCAGCAATTCCTATCATCAAAAAGGCTTTTTCAACGTCTCCACAAAACGCTATCTTAAACTTACGAAAATTTAACATAATGTCTAGTATATTTGGATTTAGATTAGGTCCCGATTCAAGGCAGTCATTTAACGAATTCGTGTCCTCTGTCCTTGAGCTAGCATCGTACACAATTCTTACCTTAGTAGTTTCACTAGGTCGTATCACTGCTCGGTGCGGCATAAAATATCCCAAATTTGTATCATTATTTGGACATTCCTCCACAATTCCTTCTAATATCTGGTTCTCAATTATATTTTTATATTCCCGAAAAATCTCCGGAGTTTTACTTAGTTTATTGTGAAGGTTTGCGAATCGTTTCTTAGCTACCTCAAAATTATTTCCTAAATTATTCGGACTGTATTTCCAGATTAAATTTGCCTCATATCTTCCGTTTTTAAACTGCAAATTTCTTTCAAACTGGTCTACTATTTCGCAGTCAATATCGGAATAATCATCAGAATCATTAATTCCCATATGTTCTAATTCCCAAAAACCTTTTAAATCTTTCAACACAACAGTGTTTGTCATTACCGCTAAATTTTCAGAACAATTTTTGTTTGTTTTATTTTTCTCGATTCCTGCGGCAACCCAACCAAACACAGAACTGACTGCGTACAACCCTTCAGATATTTTAATTCTTTCAGAATAAACTACATTCCAGAATTCATCCCCTCCAATTAATATCTCAACATCTATGTTATTTTTTCTTGCGCAATCGGCGATCTGCAACCCCATATGCTCCATGAAGTCTGCAATTTGTTTACTAGGCACACTGATGGACGCCGAGGAAATAACATCCGAGATCAAACATTCAATTTTTATTTTATTATTTTGTTTCCAATTCTGAATTTCGATTTCAACGACCGGATAGGAATGATTCATTGCCTTCGTCGCACCAAATGAATAAACAGAAAGTCTTTCATAACGGATTGGAGTAAGTTTTAAATGGTCGGCCAATTTTTTCGTTATAAAGGATCTGTGACTGCCTTGATCAAGAATTAATCTAGTTAATTTTGATTTATACTTAGAACAAGCATAAACTGTACAAGTTTGTAATAATATTTCCCTGGCATTACAGTCATTATTATTATCACCTTGAGGAACAGAAGCAATCAATTTTAAGTTTTGAACTTTATTTCTTTCCTCAGAATTCAAAGTCAGAGATTCAGTTTCATTTTTGGAATAACCTTGTTCCAACTTTTTGTTTACAAGGGATTTATTAGTACAAATCGATTCATTGTGATACATACCGCCACATTTATTACATTTAGTTTTATTTCTGCACCTTTTTGATGTATGGAATTTTTTTAAAACAAGAAAAGCAGCGGTTTTCGGATCTTAGTTTCTTTAATTTATCAGAAACATTCACTTCGCATTTAAATGACTCGTGCAAATTATCACAAAAGATGCATTTTCGGTTAACTGCAGTATGAAATGCAGCCGTGGGTGTATTTTTTACATATTTTCTAGTTTCATATTTTGATTGATCGACTCGCGGAGGCACAGGATTTTTCCTTTCGCTTAATACTAGATTTGAAACTTCCCTGCATTCTATTTCCGTTTTAATAAATTGTG